TCCGTTCAACATACTTTGGACATGTTGTAAGGAGAGACCAGTCCTTGGAGAAGGACATCATGCTTGGGAGGGTGGAGGGACAGCGCAGGAGGGGAAGGCCCTGTATGAGGTGGATTGATTCAGTGACTGGGGTAATCGGGATGGGAGTGTCAGAGATAGTGTGATTGGCACAGGACAGAGCAGAGTTCAGGGCTGTTGTACGTAGGGTTGCTATGAGTCGCAAGTTACTCGACAGCACATAACAGCAACAACAACGGGCCTTGTGAAGAGGAATGTGGCAGCAGGATTGGAGGAATGCTCATCAATAAATCTACATTATGCAGATGACACAACCTTGTTTGCTGAAACAGAGGAGGACCTGAAACGCTTTCTGCAGAAGGTCAAGGACTACAGTCTTCAATATGAACTGAATCTCAGCATCAGGAAGACAAAAGATTCTCACCACTGGGTCAATTGGCAGCACCATAATGGATGGAGAAGAGATTGAGGTTGTTAACACTTACAGCTTGCTTGGTTCCACAATCAACACTGTTGAAACCATCAGCTGGGAAAGCAAAAGAAATTACACTGGGAAAATCTGCTGTAAGGGACCTCTCCTGAGGGCTGAAAAGCAGCCATGTCAGTCTAGAGACTAAAGTGTTCTGATCCAGATCATGATCTTCGCAATTACTTGCTATGCATCAAAGAGCTGGACAATGACAAAGAATGACAGAAGAATTGATGCCTTTGAGTTGTGGTGCTGGAGAAGAGTCTTGAACATACCATGGACCACCAAGAAAACCAACAAGTCTGTCTTGGAGAGGGTGAAACCAACTTTCTAGGCTAGGATTTTGAAGCTGTCTCACTTTGGGCACATGGCCAGAAGGGACCAATCCTTGGAGAAGGACATGATGCTTGGAAGGGCAGAGAGACAGCACAGGAGAGAAAGACCCCCAATGAGATGGATTGAAACAGTAACTGGAGTAACGTGGGCTGATATGTCAGAATTAGTGATACTGGCTCAAAATAGAGCAAGCTTCAGAGCTGTTGTACATAGAGTCACTATGAGTCACAAGCTACTTGATGACACATAACAACAACAACAGTACATCTATTGTAATTACTGTATTAAGGACATGGTCTATCTAGTCTTTCAGATAATGATAGCAATGGAAAAATTATCTTTTTCCAAATGTACTTTTAAAAATCAGATATATTTAACTGAAGAGTACTGGTTTCTGAGATGGCAAAATGAAGGAATAACTTACTTTGGTTCCTTCAGTGAGGGACCTGAGCCTATGTAAAATATGTAATATGAAGGGGGGAGTCATGGGATCATAGAGTTTGGTTGGTAGGGGGATGGAATAAAGGAATTAGAAAAGATACTGTGGGGATATGAAAAATCGGGATAATGGTATAAATCAGTGGTGATTGATTTTAAAAAACATGACGTGTGAGGATGCATGTATAAAAAACAACATGAATGAGGGAGTGTGTGAAATATGTATATGCATCAAATATAATTTATATTAATTCTTTATGTAAACTATATAAAATAAAAAATTTTAAAATATTGTGAAATAGTAAAAAATAAATAAGAAAATAAAGTTCTAAGAAAATACCAATTAGAAGAGCAAGAACAAGGAGACTACAGTACTAATCTGTAGACAAATGGAGAATTTATTGGGGTGGAACCTCGAAAACGCATAGAATAGAGATTTGCTAGTGATGGAAGCATAAACACAAAAACTAAAACATAAAACACCCCAGCAGAGATTTGATCTTAGAAGACCAACAATAATTATATCACAGCCAATCAGGTAACTGGCTGAGTACAGAATTTGATTAGCCACAAGGATGTGCTCATATTTGTGTGTTATTTGCATTTTAATGAATTGACTTGATGATAGAACAAAGATTTAATCTAGCAGTACAAGTGTTAAAAATTCCAGAGAGAAAAAAAGAATTCCAGAGAGATTATTCCTGAATGCTGTAATCCCGAAGCACAATCTACAGTGATTTGAGCTTTAGAAAGAATGAAAAGTGTACTTTTTCATTGTTGTTAATAATTTCTTGTCTCAGAATTGACTGGTGAGAATTTACTAGGAACCTGAGCTAAAATGAACTTGAGTTGTTGATAGATGATATTTATTTATGAGTTTTTAAAATATGTATGACTTTTTTAAAATTTTTTTTTATTGGGAAAAACATATTGGGGGTACAAGGAGGTGAGGGTTGGGGGCAGAAGGGTGAGGATGGTCCAGGATGCAGTTGCAGAGCTGCACAGTTTGGTCGGTGGGGGGAGCAGGTGAAGGAAATGATGAGGGTCCAGTGGGGACCAGATGCTACAG